ATATTTAGCATATGTAGCTGTAGTATTAGTCATAAATGTATGTCTATGTGTATGTTACTAAAAGTGAACTTGTTGGTGTTCTCTTGTGCTTGGACCTCAGTCAGTTAACCTGAAAAGACATGTGCCATTGCAAAATAATGATTCATTAATTTCATATTTGAGTCATGCACAGTAACAATTGATAATTTTCCCTTGGGCTCACAAGACACCCAAATCACCCCAGCCACAAACTGTCCCGCCAGCAGACATTACAGCAGCATCAGGTCCCACACCGCCAGGCTCAGGGACAGCTTCACACGTTAGGCTGTTGGACTGTTAAACTCTGAGCTCTGAACTTATCACTCTGTCTATCACTGTCACTTTATCTTTCTTTAGATTAAACTATTTGATCCTCTGTATATACATATTTATTTACAGTCCTGTTACATTCTGTCTATTCATGCAATTACTGGTTTATATCACTTACTTAATATTTTATTTATATTTTATCCTTCATTAAAATGTTACTATATTGATATAATGATATACGGACATAAAGTAGTTAAAACTTGTACTACTTTATGTCCGTATATCCAGATTCTCTTTTGTCTCTACCTGTGTAATTTTAGTTTAGTTTAGTAACATTATTTTCATTCATACATATTTAAATTGCATTACTGGAGGTAGTCTGTGATGAAAGTTTTTCAACAGCAGTAGTATATAAGATACACCTTTTTACACGTGCACGCGCATGAGGTGCGTGTGTGTGATGTGCACATGACGTGCGTGCGATGTGCGTGCGATGTGCGTGTGACGTGCATGTGATGTGCGTGTGACGTGCGTGTGTGACAAATGGTGAAAGGACTTTTGACAATTGCCATGAGGATGTTGGAAGGAACTGGGGCAGTGTGTCTGATCCTACCTCATACATTTCAAAAAGAAGGACAGCAGTGTGTGTGTGTGTGTGTGTGTGTGTGACAAATGGTGCAAGGACTTTAAACTGTGGGAATGAGGGAAAATGGTTAATGACATGAGATAAATTTAATAAAGAACTTTTATTTAGTTTTTCTCAAATAATAAGGAACACGGTATTGAGTTTTTAACTGCTTAAGTTTGCAGTCATAACAAACTGTTTCCTCATTTTACAAATCATGCTGTTTTGGCGGTTTTTCACAGACTTAAGTGTTTTAAGTTTTTAAGGGCTACAAAAGTCTTTTCTTTTGAAAAAAATGGTTCAGTAAAATAGCAGTTGAGAATCTCTGTCAAAACTGTTTGTTTTTCTTTTGTTTTGTTTTGTTTTTAAGAATATAAGCTAAGATTACATACAGTTTTTTTTTTAAAAACAATAATCCTCATACATTTCACACAGCTTCTTATTGTTTTTTGTTTTTTAACTGCTTAAGTTTGCAGACATAACAAACTATTTCCTCATTTTACAAATGATGCTGTTTGGTGGTTTTTCACAGAGTGTTTACAGAGTGTTTTAAGTTTTTAAGGGCTACAAAAGTCTTTTTCTTTTGAAAAAAAGGTCTGTTTTTAAGAATATAAGCTAA